AGATATGGAGGAAATTGGAACCCTCATACATTTCTGATAAAAATATAAAATGGTTCAGCTACTTTGGAAAACAGTTTGGCTGTTCCTCAAAATGCTAAACATTAAGTTACTGTATGACCTAACCACCACTATGCATAGGTATATACCGAAGAGACATGAAAACACATCCATACAAGATGTACACAAATATGCATAGTAGCATTATCCATAATATCCAAATGTGGAATCAACCTAAATGCCCATCAACTGACAAAGAAAATGTGGCATATCCATACAGTGGAATGTGACTTGGCCATAAAAAATAAAGTACTGATATATGGTACAACATGGATGAACCATGAAAACATTATGCTAAGTGAAAGAAGGCAGTCACAAAACACCACATATTATATATCCCACTTATGTGAAATGTCTAGAACAAGCAAATTCAGGGAAGAAAAAATAGATTAGTGGTCACCAGGGTCTGGCAGTGGGGGGGGTGGTCAGCCAATGTGTATGGGTTTGCTTTTTGGGATTTTGAAAATGTTCTAAAGTTAGATTGGGTGAGAGTTATGTAACTCTGTGAATGTACTAAAAACCATTTAATTGTATACTTTAAAAAGAGTGAACTTATGAAATATTAAATATATCTCAATGAAGCTGTTTTGAAACATGTACAGAGAATGGTTTAATAATGGTCCAACACCCGGCTTCCACCATTATCAACTCGTGACCAATCTTTTTTCATCTATACCCCGATGCTGCCACTCTACTATCACTCTCACACTGGCTTATCTTTAAAAGCAAACCCCAAATATTATTTCTTCTTCAAATATTCAGTGCATTTTCAGTAATATTTAATAGTATCTTTCTAAAAGATAAGGACTCACATCTAAAAACTTTAAAATAATATCTTAATATAATCAAATATCCTATGCTCTCATGTTGCCCCTCAATTGTCTCATAAATATGATTTTTTAACAGCTGTTTTGTTCAAATAAAGATGTGCTACATATTGCATTTCATTATTTGTCTCTTATGTTTCTGTGTGTCTCTAAGCTCTCCCCCTCTTTTAATTTTATTACAATTTATTTATCGGAGAAATAGGTTGTTGTATAGAGTTTCCCACATTCTGGATTTTGCTGATTGCATTACTATGATGTCATTTAACATGATCACTATTAGATAGTGATTCACTTTTAGATGCTTTTGCCAAGCACATTATAAATGTGACTTAATTCATAGTTCAGCAATGTAGTTGCCACGCCCTAGTGCTTACTAGGCATCAGATCCTTTGTAGCCTACTTGACACAACTTATCCCATTTAATTTGTATAACCACCCCATGTGGTAAGTATTATTATTCCCTGCCTGGAGATAAAGAAAATGAGGCTTAGAGAGGTTCAAACAAATTGGTCACAGTTAACGCCTGAGGCAGTAAATATCTGGGTTCAAACCCAGGTCTGTCCGACGTTACAACCCATACTTCTATGCATTACATGATAACATCCCCAACTTTTGCCTGTGGCTGTGGTTGTTGTTGTTTGTTTTTATAAACTGAGTAGTTCTTTAGTCCATCCAAAGAACTTACTTTTACATTTCATCTGTAACACTTAGGATGCTTTCAGCTTCAAGTAACAGAAAATGTCTCCAATTGACTCAGCAATAAGGATATTTATTATCTCATATAACACGAAATCCAGGGGCGCCTGGGTGGCTCATTGGGTTAAGCGTCTGCCTTCAGCTCAGGTCTTGATCCCAGGGTCCTGGGATTGAGCCCCGCATTGGGCTCCCTGCTCAGAGGGGAGTCTGCTTCTCTCTCTCTCTCTAATAAATAAAATCTTAAAAAAAAAAGAAAAGAAATCCAGAAGTGGGACGGCAGCAGGTCTGATTGATTTGCTGACTTAACAACATCACAGACTCAGGGTCATTCCATCTCTTTACTCTGCCATCATTGATGTGTTGGCTTTGTCCTAAGGGTCAAGTTTCAGGTAACACAGCCAGATGCAACAACATCCAGTGGAGATGGTGGAATGTTTCCCTGTATGTCTCTGTTTAAGAGCAAGAAAATTTTTCCCAGAAGGCTTTCAGCAGAACTCTCCTCAGGTTTCACTGACAGAACTGGGTCGCGTGCCCACCCCTAACTGCTCACTGGCCAGTCAAGAGGCTCTTATTCCCCTTGGCCATGATAGTTTTTGGAGTGTATCTCTGAGACGGTAATAGGGTCACCTCCCCTGGTGGGTGAACAGGATTCTGTAAAGAAGAAGGAAGAGGGGTGAATGGATGTTGAGTAAGCAAGCAACAGTATCTGCTCCATGTTCTTAATGAGCTATGCTACACATTCCATTGTGAATAATGCAAATACTTCCTTATAAGTGCCACACAAAATTTTTCACTTTCTATCAAGTGACATTTACTGTTGACCTATCAGCTTCCTTGCCTGCACAAAGACAGTAGATAAGATTATACGTAAGGTCCCTTCCAGCTCGAGCTGTTTCAAATGTACATTTTCATTTTCGAAAAAGCAAGTTGATAAATTAAACCTACAAGATATGATCCAGGAATTATGATGGGTTTCAGCTGACAAGTCCTAGGCATGGCTGACATCCTTCTCGCCCTTAAAAAGTTTTAGACATGGGTATTAGATTTAAAGAACCAAACAAACTGGAACTGATCATATCTTTCCATTAAGTTTTAACTATTAAAAATAGAAAGGTCAAATGTTCTACCTTCCTGCCTCTTTCGTTAACATCTACTAGCTTCTAGCCCTCATGGTACAGACAGAGGTTGATTAGAAGTTCTTTTTCATAACTTCCTTTCGTTTGGTGTCAGCATCCTCCTGGAGCTCATACATAGCTCTGTGACTGTCACAGAGCTCTCATAACTTTGCTTTTGCTGCCAACCATGACTTTAACTTAAGAAATCATTTCTATGCTTGCTACCTTTCACAGACTTTATCCGAAGTAATTCTCCATTCATTTCATCACACACAGGCATTTTCCTTGTGGGGAACCACAAGAAAACCAAAGAGAAAGATGGTACACCACTGAGTATTGTTGCTATATCAAACCTTTGCTACTCTTTCTTTCAACCTGAATAAAATTGTTTTATTACTTTAAGCTTAGGCCTACCATCAGCTTTCTCTGGGAAAACTGCTGGCTTGATTTGTAAGCGGTCCTGTTCTTATTTAACAGAGGCTATGATTGGTGATAAATTTATGCACAACACAAAAAAGTCAAAGATATCATGTCTCCCAGGACATTTGGAATAACAAATGACAAGAAAACTTGGGAGCGTGATTTAAGCAGGTTTGGTCACACCTCCATTTCATTTCACTATTTCCAGATCAGATGTGTCATCCTGGTGAAGAGGCCCAGGGTACAATCCATTACCACCGTTGAAAGTGGAAAGCACCTCCTGTGTGCCATTGTTCATCCGGCTAGTTCCAAGAGCCTTAGAGAATTAACTGTTTTCTGATTCAACCTAACTTCTGGGGAAGGCATGGCCCTGTTTTGAAATGTACAAAGGAAAGAGTGCTGAGAGTGCCTCTTTGGGGAAGGCCAAGAATGCACAGGGTGGAAGGAGAGAAGATAGGCTTAATTATCAACTAGATGACCCTGAGTAAGTTATATCACCTCTCTGCCTCTTAGAAATTTGGGGAAAATCCTTACTCTGTATCTCACAGATTGTTGCCAAAATCAAATGAGAACATGAATAGGAAAGTATTTTCACAAATGCAAAATTGTGTTGTTACTATTTTCAAATATGGAATTTCCTCTGCATTTTTTTTTTTTTTTTTTTTTTTTGCCACATGATACCTGCCTAGGTCATGCCAGACTATGATGCTGTTTCACCTCCATTCACCCTTTGACTACTTCAGGCAGATTACACCAGCAATGTTTTATCCATCTCTTTGGTTTATTTTCCTTCCATCACATCCCTAAGATGCAAATCTCACCATAAGGTGAAATACTGCATGGTGGCTACTTACAAAAGTCAACATACTTAAACTGTCCAGATAAATGCTACATACAAGAGTTGCACTAGAATAATGCAAAAGAGGTTCAAAAAGGAGTGAGAGCACATCTAATTAGAGAAAGCTTCTGGAAGATAATCCCATTATGCCACGTATTTTAGGAATTTCGGTCTTAGTCCAATGTCACCCCACCCCGCTTTCTTGCCTCAGAGACAAGAGCGTATTTTCTCTATCTTTGTAGCTCCCAAGGACCTGGCAGAGAGAACATTTCAGTACGTTCCGGGATGAAGTGAACTGGCTAAACGGCTGACAATAACAAGCGAGGTGGGTTTTAACATTTATCTGTCCAGCCCAATGAAGCTCACCTGTTTTTAACTTAGTATTATAGGTAGGGCTTTCCAGGCAAGAAGTGTGCCCAGGAACACCCCGTAACTTCCAAGGAAGGAACTTTATTGCGGATGTGTTAAGTGCCCAACACAGGTGCTTTCATATATGCACCATTTAATATGGGTTTAGTCCTCACAATGTATCTTCAGGCTTTAAGTCTATTTTACAGATGAGGATGCTAAGACTCGAGAGAGGCTGCGTTGTCCAGTCTAACATCTAGTAAAAGCCACTGCGTGTGCACGAGCTCTTCAATACCCTAACCCCCAAACGTTAAATCAGCCTCGCTCAACCCCACCTGCTTACCTCCCTCCTTTCAGGCATCTACTCCAGCTACTACTCCTTCCCCCGTCCCCGCCCCAGGCCCAGTAAAGCCAGTAAAAACTAGGTCTTAAGGCTTCCGCGTAAGGATGTTCACTCACCCAACTGCTCCTCACAGGCTTGAAAAGCCTTTGCCACCCATCCTATCCGTAGCCCCGAGCTTCTCAAAAGAGCCTGCACAGCCTTTTCCCAAGGCTGAGGTCCTCGTCGCCTGCAGAGCGGTGGCGGGGTCGGGACGTAGAGTCCGGGAGAGGACACCTGCAGGGGAGGACACCGCAGGGGGTCCCGCCTCCGTGCGGCCGCCGCGCGTCGCCGCGAACTACGCTTCCCAGGCTGCTCCGCTGCCGCCGCGCCCTCGGCGCCGCGCCCGGCGGGGAGCCGCCTGTTGATCGCCGCGCTCGCCCCGACCGCGGCGCCGCCCCTGCCCGGCGGTCCCCGCTACCTCCGGGCGGACGGACCGACTGCCCGCACCGCCGGCTCCGGGATGGGCGCACGGACGGGTGAGCGCGCGGGGAGGGGAGTGGGGGGGCGGCCGGGGCGAGGCGCGGTGTGCAGACCTCCGCCCGCCAGGCGGGGCGGCGGCTCCCTCCCAGCGGGCTGGAGGATGCTCCGCGCCGTCCGCGCTCGGCCGGGCGAGTGCCCAGAGCCAGGGCCGCCTGTAGCCTCCGCGGCCGGGCGGGCTGTGCGGGGCGGCGCGGGCAGGAGGCCCCTGCGGGGGTGTGGGTCCCACGCTCCGCACTGCGGCTCCGCAGCCTCGGCAGCCCGCCGGGCCGCTGCAGTGAGGGCGCGGTCTCCTGCCTTCCTCGCGCTGCGCGGCTGGGTTTTTCCACGCTGGGCTTTGTTCCCCACTTTCCCCTCTCCTGTGAACGTTAGACAGGCTCCTGGAGCCCGGTGCCTCTCACTGCATCGTTAAAGCGGGCGACGGGGAAGGATGCATTCCGGCTGGCGTCTTAAGATCCCTGGAGCTGTCACCCGCAGGGCGTTTCAGCCTCTGGAAAAGCGGCGTTCAGGGAGCGGCCTGATGCAGGTCCTCGAGACCTTTATTTTTTTTCCTGGTTAAGGTCATGGTAGCATGTGCTCCCTGAGTCTTCCTAAATTTTCCCTGTTGATCCGCAGAAATGAAGATGGATTTTAAAAATAATAATATTAATAAAAGGCTACTTAAACCGTTCCAAGGTGGGAAGGTGATGCAGGCAAAATGCAAATTAGCAATGAAGGAGGTCGTGAATGCTACGGCTTTATCTTGCCCATTAAACAGCCGAATCACAAGGCACTTGAGAAGGGAAGAAAAAGAACATCAGAGGAGGTATTTTTCAAATCAGGTTTCTGTCCTAGCTCTACCATTAAGGAGCTGAGGGACTCTGGGCAAGCCCTTTCACCTCTCTGAGTCTGTCTATCCGTGTAAAATGGGGCGTTTGGGCTACATGATTTCTAAACCTCTGTTCTTCCAAGATTCTCATATCAGGGGACTGAAGATATGCGGTTGCTTATGTTCAACACCATTACAAAAAGCCTGATTGTGACAGAACGAGTGGCTTTACCCTAGTGAGGAGGAAAGATTTTTCAGGGCTTAGGTAATCTGATTAAAAAAAAAAAAAAAAGCAACTGATTTTCTCTACTTTCTTCAGTCTAACCCAATAAATACGTATTATAGCCATTTTAATTTTTACAGAACTGTAAATTGGTAGGCAGCATGTGTTTGTTTTTGTTTTTAATTTGCTGAAGGTGAAGTTGTGAGATGGGCTGGTAGATGGAGAAGCAAATGGCTCCTGGGGTCTAGACTAAAGTGGTCAGATGTGGTCAGCAAGGACATGGGGGAAAGCCCCAGCAAGAAGTAACCAGAGAGTATATGCACTGAGGAAAGAGAGGATGGGTACTGATGGGTCATTGTTTGAATAATACACAATGAAAGGAATACAAGAACCAGAAAACCAGTGCTATGCAAACCCTAACATAACCGATTCAGGCAAGGACTCATCCATGGGTTCAAAACCTTTGAGTGAGAGGTTGTTGGAGAATAGGATTATCTCACCATGGATTACCTCGAGAAAATATGTCCTTACAATGGAAACAGGAGGAGGTCATCACCTCTGCCTAGTGATCAAGCTTACCAGCATCTAGTAGGAGTCTCCTGTTGGGATGCAATAAGATCATGACTTCGCCTATGCAGTGTTCCTGCCAAAAAGACTGGAAAGTCGAGTTTGGGAGTGTGGAGTTTTGTAGATTAAAATACTCAAGTGATGTAACAACCATTTCAGATGTATGAACTTTGGATCCTAGATCAGAAAAAAAAAAAAAAAAAAAGCTCTAAAAGGTGATTTGGAGACAATTGGAAAAATTTTAACATGGACTGCATATTACATAATATGATGGAATTTTCATTTTCTTACCCACAGTAGTGGTACTGTGGTTATGTAGGACACTGTGGTTCTTCGTGTGAGGTGCAGGTATTAGAGGAAATGTGTCGTGATATTTGCAACTTTCAGGTAGTTCAGGGGCAACAAGTCTAAGGGTGGGGGAGCAAGCTCAGGAATGTGGCAAAATGACAGTGAATCTAAGACAATGGTACGCAGGTGTTTGTTATACTGTTCTTTTATCTTTTCTGTAAGTGTGGACTTTTTAAATTAAAGTGGGAGAGAGCAGTGAAATTAGAGAGTACATAAAGAGAACTAGGTGGTTAGTGACACACAGCTGCAGTGAATCTGTGGCTTTGAGTTTCCAGGATTTAAGTCCTATTGGAGGTGTAAGTGGGCTCAGGGCAAGTTCCCTTTCTTGGTTTGTTTTGGCTACTGTCAATCATTTATTCTTTTTTTTTTTTTTTTAAGATTTTATTTACTTATCCGACAGAGAGAAAGAGAGCATAAGCAGGGGAAGTGGCAGGCAGAGGGAGAGGGAGAAGCCGGCTCCCCACTGAGCAGGGAGCCCCACGTGGGGCTCGATCCCAGGACCCTGGGATCATGACCTGAGCCAAAGGCGATGCTCAACCGACTGAGCTACCCAGACACCCCACAATCATTTATTCTTAAGATACTGCATCCCCTGGGGTGCCTGGCTGGTTCAGTGGATAGAGCATGCATCTCTTGACCTCGGGGTTGTGAGTTCGAGCCCCATATTAGGTGTGGAACCTACTTTAAACAAAAGAAAGGGAGAAAAAAAGATACTGCATCCCCTAATTCCAACCTCAAAGCATTAATAATTCCCAAACCTTTGAAATGCCAGTTCTACTCAAGAATCATTCTGAAAACACTGTCCCTTTCCTCTCTACATTCAAAATTTATGTCCGTATAGAAGGAAGTTCCTGGTAGTAGATCTTTATATTTTGAGTTAGGGGAGTGTTGGGGGAAAGAACAGATCCAGCCTTTTGACGGAACAGAAGGTGTAGGGTTTCCTCTCATTCTCTTTATTTGTAAATCACATACAACCAAATGGTTTCTTATAGACTATAAGTGGTTCGAAGAGGTTCGTAGAAGGCATGTGCAGAGGAAAACAAAATCAACTCTTAAGATACAGCACAATTTTATACAGAGCCTTTTGCTGCAAAGAGACTTTTGCTATGGGGCGCCTGGGTGGCTCAGTCCTTAAGCGTCCGCCTTCAGCTGTGTTCCCTCTCTCGCTGTGTCTCTCTCTGTCAAATAAATAAATAAAATCCTTAAAAAAAAAAGAGAGAGAGACTTTTGCTATACCTGGAATATACATGCTTTTATGTTTTGCCTCCTGTTTCGGCATCAGTGCTATCCATCTCTTTAAGTATGTTGCCAGGTTTCCCCTACTGACCTCTGGATAGAGTGGCAACGAGAAGGTCAGTTCTAGGACCGTGGGTAATAGGAGCTCATGAAACAGGGCACAAGGCCAGCTGTGCCAAGCCTGGAGATGAGTAAGGAGCAAATCTGAGGTACCAGCCCTACAAGGCCTCTCATCAGAGCAGCTGGAGGGGTCTAGAGTCTAGTAAGCTGGGCTGCTGTTCAGCCAGTATGTGCAGGGACAGCCATCCCTGTTGTTTAGAGCTGACAGCCATTCTGACAGGGCAGTGCCCATTCCATACCATTCGCTAAGTCTTGTGCACATCATCTTGATAAGCAGTCGTGAGTCAAGGTACACATAGTACCAGTACGGTACAACAAAACGTTGGTCAAAACCTGGCTGGAGTACAGAGACCAGAGTAAGAGATAAGATAGGTGAGTCAAAGACTACATAAGCAGGCAGGAGCCAGGGAGGCATGGGAATCAAAAGACAGGAAGTAGAGAACATAGTGTGCTAGTCAGGAAGTGAGAAGCCATCAATTCCTGAAAGCAAGGTGAACTAACAGACACAGATACCCACGTGCGAGACAAGGAGCTGGAAGTCGGGAAATAGGAACTCCTCGGAAAACAGAGAATGGGGCCAGACAAAGGGATAAGGCAGCAGCAGGAAGTAGGATCTGCCAAGAGAATTAGAAACCAGGTAGCAGTCTGGGCAGAGTCTAAGACTTCCATGCTAATGAGCTTCTGCCTCAACCAGGAAGTGCTTGGCTGCTTCCTACCAGGTGGAAACCTATCTCCTCCTTTGGCCAGCCTCTACATGGTGGCTCACTACACCTGGTAACGCTGACCCAGGGCTCTTAGAAGATGCTGCCTCTCTATATTCAACAGATCCTGACAAGGATAACAGAGGGAACAGATACTCCAAATAAAAGACTATTCCCAGACCAAGGACAAAAGAGAAATGGCTTTGACTGAGGGCGTGTATGTGTGTGTACTAGGCACAATGCCTAGTATACACATTATCACATTAAGCATCCCCTCCACCTTCTGAGATAAATACTGTTCTTTGCCTGTTTTACAGAGGAGAGCACAGAGGCTTGGAGAGGTTTCACTTGCCCACAGACCTGTAACGATCACACACAGACCTGTAACGATCACACCCAGTGCTGGTTGACTCCAAGGCCCCTGCTTTAAGTCTTCTGAACCTGGAGTGGGGGTGGTTCACTGGTGGGCACATTGTTTTAAAAGAAGACTGTTTTCAAGCAAAATTTGAGCTATGGCAACTTTTGTGTGGCAAGTTTGGGAAGTTAAGACCACACAGTCTCAAGATACAAACTCTTCAGGGCACCTGGGTGGCGCAGAAGGTGTCTGCCTTCTGCTTAGGTCATGATCCCAGGGTCCTGGGATCGAGCCCTGCATCGGGCTCCCTGGTCCGTGGGAAGCCTGCTTCTCCCTCTCCCACTCCCCCTGCTTGTGTTCCCTCTCTCGCTGTGTCTCTCTCTGTCAAATAAATAAATAAAATCTTAAAAAAGAAAAAAGATACAAACTCTTCATTCTGGTAAGATCTGTTCCTCATTTCCCTTTCAGCTTGTTCCCTTCAATTGCCCTGTCATACTTTTTGCCTGAAATTCCTCCTTATCCCGCCCCATTCTCTGTCCTTCATCCCCTGCAAGTATTCCCAGAATATGACAGGAGCCATTTGGTTGTTAAAAAAAAGAGAGAGAGAGAAACAGACATGACTGGACCATCTTCAAATAGCT